TGTTTTTATTTGGCAATTTCTTCATCAGCTGAACTAACATCTAAAGTGCAACAATAATAAGAATGCAACTTATCCTCACACATACCTCAGTCTTGGTTCTCTCTATAAGGGCAATGTTGGTGCTTTTTAGATGGGAATCTTTGGCTGAAGCATCAGTGAAGACATAGATTTTAGAGGAAGGTGGAGCTGATGTCAGCGCAAGCTGTCAGTTATACAAATGACAGAAGAATTAAACATTATTTGTTGTGATTTACCAGATGTGCAAAACTGTAATTCAGAAAGTGATTAAAAAGTAACAAAAAAGCAAGTTCTGATAATGCATGCACACAGTCATTCTGTTATTACATAATAGGACACAATAAGTTCATATTAATTTCCATAATTTCCTAACGATGTCCTTTGCACTAACTGCAAATACCCCATTTCTTCATCCTAAAAGCTCATAATTCACATCACACAAATTACTGTGTAAGCAGATGCATGATATGATAGAACACAAGTACACTCACTCGCAGTCCAGACATGCTCATCTCTGGTTCATCCCCTCCTCCGAATGCAGTGAGCTTATTGATTTCCTTTTTGAAGTAGTTTTTGTCAGTTGTCTTTATCACAGGTCCAAATTCTTTTTGGGGGACAGAGAAATACATGAACTTGCAGATTTTTGTAGATGTGCTTTGTTTGTTGGCTCTCTTTGGCAACATGGGGAATATCCATAAAAGTGGAAGTACCTGGGTCATTGAAAGGTACCAGTATGTACTGAGAGGGTTCCTGTAGCGTTCCTGCGTTACTGTCAATTATGTTAAAGGCAACTTGTTTTGCTGCATTGATGTCATTAGCCATACTGCCTGTGGTGTCAATGACAAAACACAGCGCATAGGACTGGGAGAAGCCCATCAACCTGGAGGAACATAAGTGACAAAACAAAATCATCCCTTTGTTATTCTGTAAGGAACCCAATTTCTCTACATTCAGAATGATGCAGAGGTATCTTTGCAGAAACATGTGCATCATAAAAAGCATCACTTTTGTTACATAGTATCTTCTGTGAGGAAGGCTTTTTACTATTTTTTTCTAGAAAGCTGTGTCATGAAAATAAATATGAACTGTTTCAATTTCAAATTTATTAGAGTTCTAGTAACCATTTCATGAGTGCAAGAATGTCTCTGATCAATTTTTCCTGTACCGCAGGAAGTTCCTGTCTCCAGCAGCTAGTCTGATGTCCTCCAGCAGCTCCATAGTAGCATCCACTGCCAGATTAGCTGCTTTTTTGTGCAACGTGCCATGATCTGATGTTGAAGAATCCTTATTGATGCCCCCAACTGGGTCCCTTTTTCTTGTCTTGTCACGTAGACCACCATGGCTACATTTACCTGGCCAAAAAAATAACAAATTACATTTAATTATACCTAGATAAATAGCTGAATAAATGATCAATAAGACAAAAACATCCAAAGAGTTTTATAGTTGGGGTATGGCAATGAATAGGTGAGTTTAGGTAATCTTTAAATTAAATTCAAGGTGGGACAACACATCTATTTGTTGTAATATTTAAATTTGTAGCTTGTGGGCATTCATTACTGTGAGATGCTGTTTACATTTTCTAATCAAAAAACAAATACCAAAAACAAACAAAACTACAGTAGTCAATTTAGTTTCAGTGTTGATTACAATTTACCCATTCTGCTGGTTTGATAAGCAGTCCATTTGCTATGAAACAAGCAAACAAAAGAAAATAATAATACAAATCCAAATAGTTTGCTGTTATACACAAATGAATGTGATTGTTACCAGTAGGCTTTAAAGTAGAGAATGTGCTAAAGTAGCCTGAGGTCAGGAGCCCCTGTGTCAGCACTTCAGGCAAAATGTTATCAGCACAGGCATCTCCTGTACAGCTCTTACAAGTTGGAGTAGATGGATCTGGAGCAAAGCAAGAGAAAAGTTAGCCATAAAACCATCTGGAAACAGGTTGTGACATACAGTATTTAAAGGTGGGCCATCTATGCTTTGGCGATATTCAAGACTTGGTTTGAACTGTGCTTTTGTAAAATGATTTTGGCTATTATTTCTTTCCTATTTATCCCCTTTATCTCCCTTATTGCAAGTGTGTGTGTGTACACGCCCCACCAGGTAAATTAATTAAAACAAGTTGAGACAAATGTGCTTTCTTACTGTGATTAAAGTTGCTGGAAGGCTTTTACCTGCTAGGTTCTGCAGTGGTTGATCTGGTCTGATCAGAGCGGAGTAAGGAGTGGTTTTCCCCAACTCCACCCAGTTACTGTGGCTGTAAAAGTCCTTAATGTTGGGAAAATCTAACATTATTTCCAATCCTATCACTGATTCCTCCTTCCAAAATCTTAACATCATCAGGTTTAAATAAAAACAATAATTATTACTCTCACCTGAATTATGTGACAAATCTGTCCAAGTACCTCTCTTGCAGCAACAAAATTCTCCGACTTCACACTAGCCTTCACGGCAGACATATCTCAAACAAAACATATAACCTTAAGAATCCAGTATAAGTGAAACCTAATGAAGCAAAATTCTGATTTTTGTTGCACTTATCATTTAAATGTTTTTTAATTGGTGTATAGGAATAGAAATTAATTAAAAAAATCAAAATAATCTACTATCTGTGTTGTACTGAACGTAAACACGTTTAATTTTGAGGACTTTAAAGTGTACCTCTTGTGATGATGTCCCGTCCTCTCAAGAAGGTCTCACTGTGAAAATGGTACTCTGGTAAGTTGTCCAATGAGAAATACACTTTTTCATTGCTACCGTAGATCTCATTAAGGGCAGTTTGGAAAATGTCAGTAGAGAGCGGAGCAGTGGAGGTAGATGAGGAGAAACAGGCCTTTTGCACCTCCTGAACTGACAAGTTGTCATCAATCTGGAGACAAAGAAATGCCAAGTGCTTAACTGGACATTTGGAAAAATCTCAAAAAGTTATACTTCACAGTTATGTTAGACTAAACATGAATGCATAAACAGTGACCCCATTTTAAATGATAATGAGCCCACTTTCAAGTTGAAGTCTCTTCCATCAACGGCGGCAAGGTCTCGGCAAACCTCAGCTGTCTTTCTGAGAACTGCCTTTCTGGTGATGTTACGATGAGTTTCATCAACAGAGAAGGATGGTTGAAATCCATGGGTTAGACCTGGTAGGTAGAGACAAACTGCAACCAGGAGCATGACTGTGTGTTTGACAGCCATGATGGACAGTGTTGTACTAAAGGAACAAGAGAAAGGTAAAGTCAAAAAATGTACAGAACAGAGGTTCATGTTTGACACAGCAAGCAAAATTATCATAGGAAAAAATACAAATGATTTAAGATAAAAACTAAATGGCAAAAGTATAATAAATAAAAAATAGAATAAAAAAATAAAAATGGCAAAAGAAAAATAATAAGTAGAAAAATAAAAAGTAAAAATAATGATAGTAGTGAGGGTAAGAGAGAACGAAAGAAAGGCAGGAAGGAGGAATCAGCAGTTTGAGGACATATTTCCATGACCTAAGTTGCAGAAATGCAATTGTTGTACAACAGTCAATCAGTGGTTAAAAAATTATTTGATAAGCAAAAGAGGCCAAACGAATTGTCCTCAATTGAGTTAAAGGGCAAAGCTAAAGCTCAGCCTTTTTAATGTAAAGTTTATTTGATGAATTCTACCCAAATCCATACATAATTATATCCGGAAAATGATCTTAAGTGATCTAACAAATCCATTAAGGGATAGTAACATCATATAATTATATTATTCATCATTGCCAACAAGCTAGCTACATACTTCAGAAACATCAATATCATCATTAGTGTTTCTATTTTTCTTCCCATTGTTTTTCCTTTAAAAAAAAAATTAATTAAAAAAAATCATTATTATGTCTTTATCCTGTTTTCCTTCTCTCACCCCAACCGGTCCCGGCAGATGGCCGCCCCTCCCTGAGCCTGGTTCTGCCAGGCGTTTCTTCCTGTTAAAAGGCAGTTTTCCTTTCTACTGTCGCCAAAGTGCTTGCTCATAGGGGGTCATATGATTGTTGGGTTTTACTCTTTATCTATAAAGCGCCTTAAGGCAATTTTTGTTGTGATTTGGCGCTATATAAATAAAATTGAATTTAATTAAATTATACAATTGCTGTCACTTTACCCAACACATATGTACATGTAAATAGCATCATGTCTAACACTGATACCATTTCAATATTATTTTTTCTTTATTATTAAGATGCAGTTCTTTGTGTGGTGCTAATGTTACTGTATGGTAGTCCCAATGTACAGGTCATGGATCATAAATCATTAAGAACAATTTATGCCATAATATTGAGATAACACTATTTTTACGATAAGGTTACTTTCACATTGCTTTATATGCAAAAAGTAAGAAACAGGCATTTGCTGTCTTAAAATTAAAATAACTTTATATCCACACAGAGGATCTACTCAAGTTATCTAGTTACTGATAAAGTTAACATTGTCCACAGTATCATTGAAGTCGGTCCTCTGTGAAAATGCAACCAAGCAACGCTATATGTAACTGAAACAAAAGACAAACTGCATGCTCAAAGTTAACAAATATATATTTAAAATGTTCAATCTGAAACTGAGTGGCCGCTTAAACCAACATCTCACCTTAAAAGTCACTGCTAGCTGCTGGTTTAAAACTTTATGAGTAAAAAGTAAAAGTTAACCAAATTTAGGAACACTCTGATCTATTAAAAAACCAAACCAACAACATCTTTATAGTCACTAGCCTTTATTCATCTCAGCTAAGGAACCATTTTCTTTCTTATCTTATTCCATCCACCTATTCTCAGTTTTAATCTGCTCCCTCTCTTTCTATTTGCATGTACTAATTTGTGAAGTAACTGACTAATAGGTTAGTTAATTAATTAGTTTATTACCTTAATGAGTCACTGTCATGCATGAATGTATCATTGCCTTTTTTAAAATTAATTATCCATAAGGACAAAGAAAAATATTATAAAGTATATGTAATTGGAAGGCTTTAGGACCCAGGGGACCCAAGGGAGGGTATAAAAGAGGAAGTAGCAGCAGGTGCTCTTCTTCTCTCATTTGTACTGACAAGCAGCTGTGAACAATGGTTGTGTGAGTAGGTGAAAAGCCTGAGAAGCTTTGTCTTCTACACAAATGGTTGTTTTAAACTTCTACAGCAGAGGTTCGAGGTATAGGCTGTTTTTCTTTTAGTGCTTTTTTAAATTCGTTGAAATGTATTTGATGTTTATTGTATTTTATGTTTCTAGTAGTGATTTTAGAAGACAAGCCAGGTGTGCAGCAAACACAGTTGTCTGCTGGAGGTATGTTAACTTAATATATTTGACATTTAAAAATAATATATTTATGCACTACAATCTAATTTATATCGTATTGCCTCCTGCAGGACAGGCTGCACATGTGAATTTGTCACAGTTTTTTCCTCCTTCTCATTGTCGTTGTGTTTTTCTCCCAAGTTGGTTTGAGACTAGGGTCACCTTTTAAAACTGTTTTTTTTATGCCGGGTTTGTTTTTATTTCAACTGGGCTGGTGCAATATTAGTCTGGCAATCCCTGAGCTGGGCTCTTACCTACGGGGAATTAGGTCGTTTAGAGGTGCTCCGTGTGGATTTGCAGTGAATAAGTTTTATTAAGAGTGATTTTAGTGCCACCGATTATTGCCTGAACTAAAACACTTAGTGCATAAGTGTTCTGTTGGGCTCGTATTTATTTGGGGTGGATTTGTTTCTTTTAAAGCAACGAGCATCTGGGACCGCTGAGGGAGGGCAAGCCCTCAGGTGATAGTTGCATTGCTGGCAGGTTGCACCAATAAGACTATATTGTGGTCGTTAATGACCTTTTCCATTTTGATGTTTTAGGCCTTTTGCAAACCCTTTGTTTTCTTTTAAAATAATAAATTTTAACGTATCTGACTGATATTGACCCTCTTGTCCCGTTTATTCTGGGCTCGTTCCTGTAAGAGCTTTGGGCCTGAAAGTTTGCACAAGTAGTATAGAGGCCCTTAGCGGTTACTCGGTGGCTTTTACTCGCTACATATAGTAACAAAAAAAGTCATGGAGGAACCAGGCAAAAAAAGGAAAAAGAAAAGGAAGACAAATGAAATAAAATAACCCAAGACACTGAATAGAGACACAGAAGACATATGCAAACAAATAGACAACAATAAAAAGAGAAAGAAGATCTTAAACTTAACCTTCACCAAGTTTTATCAGAAATCTAGTTTCCCAAATGTTCACCTAGAGCGCTTAAGGTTCAAACAACAGTTAGCCAGCAGTAATTGTGCCAGGTCTTTACTCTAAGACTACTCTAAGATGCCCAATACAAGTCAGTAATAGTTTGGCCAAATTCACCATTTTCCCACATTTAATCTCTTATTTACCATGGATTATTAATTATCATTTTTTTAATATTACAGTACCAATAAATGTTTTTTATATACAAAAGAATACTGTTAAACACATACCACAGTGATTGTTTTGGTAGCAGCCAGTCCAGTTTCTTGAATAAGACTGTAGCAGACGTTTTAGTGTGCAGTGTGCATCAGTGTGTGTTTGTCTTTGATGGCTTTCTTTTATGAGGAACACTTCTATATCCTCATTCTTTCCCTAAAGTATTTGACTGTGTTTGATCATTTGCTTACGTGATGTAGAGGTTATTTACAGTTGACTGTGCTGATTGCATGTTTGGCATGTGTTTTTGCTGTAAATCACTGTAATTCCTTTGCTTATTTATGGGATGTGTCTATAGGGATGGGTATTGATAAGATTTTCACGATTCCGATTCCATTTTCGATTCTGTTTAACGATTCGATTCTTTATCAATTCTCTTATCGATTCTTTTTTTT